TCTTTCTCTTTCTCTCTTTCTCTCTCTCTTGGAATATATAGAATTGTGGCTAAAGTTACTAAATTACTATATTTCTAAAGTTACTAAATTACTATATTTGTTTAAAAATATTATACACGTTCGACTTTTTACTACGAAATTATTATAATTATTTAAATTATTTGAAGTGTGTAAAATATAAGAAACTTTATAATACTTCTTATACTATTATTATGATTATTGCTTGGCAAAAAATCGACCACAATCCATTCAGGGAAAGTTCTCAGCCATTTTGGTTTTGTAGTCAATGTTTCAACATGTTTCATGTTTCAACAATTATAGAAATTTGCTTTTTTTGAAAATATTTGTAAATAAAAACTTAAATTTTGCATAAACACAAAAAAAATTATTTATTTGCATCAATCTGGTATATTTGCAGTTACATTTATGTCAAAAAATTACAAAAATATTAATCTTTCTCTTTCCACGAGAGAAGCTCGCGAAAATTTTCATCGTAATATTTCGTCATCGAATAGTGTCTGCCGACAGAGAGATTCCAGAATTCAGGGAATACGTCTTTTATTTAAAAGCGAACGAATCGCGAGAGTTAACCCATTAACGCCCAAATGTGCTAAAATTTTACGTTGACTTGAGCCATTTTACTACGGAAATGAGGCCTGTTGTTTATAAAGAGTACCATTCCTATAATTTCGATGTCGCTTTATCGAATAGTGTTGAGAAAATTTAAAAAAATCACAATTTATGCAAAATTTTTGCAAAATAAAATAAAAAATGCATGTTTTTAGGGTTAATTTTTTCTTCTTCCGTTATTTTCTCCATAAAAACTTGTTAGTATCGCTAGGGAAAGTTCCTAAAACATGTCCTGACACTTTGGCTTAAAAAATATGCTATGGGTATTTTTTTTCAACAAACATGGCACTACCAAAATGACGGTTAATTTGAAATTTAATTCGAATTTTCATTTATATGTGGTTATCAAAATTGTTTTACTATGTAATTATTATGTAAATTACTATATAATTTTGTAGTAATATTGACCCTAAAACAATTTCGATAACCAAATATAAACGAAAATCCGAATTAAACGCTTCAAATCGATCGCTATTTTGGTACCGCCATATTTGTTGAAAAAAATATCCATGGCATATTTTTTAAGTTAAAGTGTCGAGAACATGTTTTAGGCACTTTCCCGAGTGAACAAGTTTTTATGGAGAAAATAGCGAAAGAAGAAAAAATTAGCCCTAAAAACATGCGTTTTTATTTTATTTTGCAAAAATTTTGTATAAATTGCGATTTTTCTTTAATTTTTTCAACGCTGTGCGATAGAGCGACATCAAAATTGGTAGGAATGGTGCTCTTTATAAACAACAGACCTCATTTCCGTAGTTAAAAAAATGGCTCAAATCAACGTAAAATTTCAACACATTTGGGCGTTAATGGGTTAAACTAAATTTTTAACTGAAACTTACAGAGTATTATTTCACACGAGACATCAGTTACCCGATTTTTTTTATTTTACATTACTTTTTACATTCTTATCGTCTTTGGCGACAATATCACACTTAGATACGGCCGAGAATAGCTGTCCACATGTTCAGGTAAAGTTTTGCGTTGCCTTCTCGGGGGACACCGTGCGAATTGTACTTACGGAGTTGTACTGTTCATCGCATTTGCATTCACGACGAAATGCACTCGCGCATCTGTAAATCATGCCCGCGTAATACGAAAAGTTGCGCGTCGCTGGAACTCAACACGGGGAACCGTTCTGCACGCGCAAAGTAATCGCTGATCCGCACCTGAGCCGATCAGCTCGTTGCACGATATTTCGGCGGCGAATTCTTATTTGGCATGTCGCAGCGGCTACGAAAGTGCAGCGCAAATAGCGTCGACAATGCAATCGCGCGCCCACGCGGTGCATAATTAGTTCGGTGAAATGAGACGGAATGGGAGAGCGCACGTGAATAGCGTCGCGGAACGCGCAAGCCGGCAGACGCATTTTCGAGAGAGGGACTAATCGCAGAAAATTGCAGTTTCGTTTGCTCACGCGATAATTCCGCCGATGTGAAAGCACTCCACTCTTAGAGAAAGAGAGAGAGAAAGAGAAAAGAAAATTGTACCGATCCCAATAGGCCGACGTACGTCAACTTTTGCAGCAACTTTAAATATGTTAAATTATGAAATTCAACAACGTTGACGTATGACTTATCAGACTGCGCTCTCCGTCATATCTATTCTACAGAACGACGAAATAGAAATACAAAAAAAATTATCAAAATTTGCCCAAAACGATATGTTAGGTTAGGTGTAACACGAAAATCTGAGTGTAACTTTTAGTACACGGAAAAAAATTATTTGCTGCAGCAGCAAACTAATTTACTACATATGGACAGTTAAATATAATTCTGTGTTAGCTACTTTTTCTTTGCTGTAGGAACCTATTTTCTTGCTATGATAACAAGATAATCTGCTCCTACAGCAAGAAAAGTAGCTAACGTAGCGAATTTGTTACAGAAGAGCAATTAAACATAATTTACTGCTTTAGCTACTTTTTTTGTAGCAGGAGCAGATTTTCTTGTTATCATAGCAAGGAAATTGGCTCCTGCAGCAAAGAAAAAGTGGCTAATATAGCAAATTATGTTTAGTCCATATGTAGCAGATCCTTTTTTCCGTGTAAATTTGTTGCCGCATTGATATAATAAAAAATTTATATTATTTTATAATTTGTAAATTTAATAATTCAATATAGTATATTTCAATACAGTATATTTACTGCATAAATATAATTAAAAGGATTGTAAAATTTCTGTCATCGATCGTCTCATGTCGTAATAATCATAAAGGTTTATTAATGAGCTTTTTATTCATTAGACCAGAAATGAATCGCATACTGATTAATAGAGGATATGATAGACTGTTAAAGATCTGATGACAACAGATTATATATATAAAACTATATAATATAAAAACTATATAATATAAAAAAATTATAATATAAAAAACTATAAAATATAAAAATGAAAAAGATTCTTCGTGTTTCTCCACGGAAGTTGGTGTATTGCGTGTCAGTAAACGGCGTAATCAGTAGCCGATTTACGGGAAATCACGATTTGCTTTTTGATTTTTTAACCTTATTTCCTGATTTCACAGACTGAGCGTGAGTATCAAAGTTACGCTTTCTTTGTTTGCGGCGGATGTCGCTCATGCGTCGTGCGCACGTGAAACCCGTTCGGTGATGGCTCACTTCGCGTACTTTTCACAATGATCGAGCACGAGGAATCCGTAACAACGGGGATAGAAGGACGGTCGACGAAAATAGACTAGAAATTTGTCCCAAGAATAATATTTATCTTTGTTGCGACCCGCGGGTGGATGTGAAAATTTATATATATATATGTGTATAGATGATATATATTTCGCGCGCGCAATAAAGTATCTATAATATTATATATGTGTGTGTGTGTGTGTGTGTTAGATATATATGCGTGCAGGAATTTCGTAAACGTATCAGTGATAGAGCGCTCACCCGCACTTCGCGGCAAGCGCTATTGCGTCTGTCTGAAAATAACTGGACTAGTTATTCTCCAAACAAATAATTGCGCCATAAATTTGCCCGTTAAATACGTGGCTTTCTACACATTAAACTGCGCACGTCGTACTTAATTATTGACTCGCCCGTGCGAATTTCCGCGATTCGCCGCTCCCTCCCGCCGAACAGCCTCGGTGATGTTCGAAATTCGCGCGTACCCATAACATTCTGCGTCTCTACGTCTGAAATCGGCGAGCGCAAAAGAATATCCTCACGTCAAACATGTAAATTTCGCGCGTGTTTTCCAAGAGAAAGGTTCGCGCTTCACGTGCAACACACAAACGGACCTCTGCATATTTCACCCTTGATTATTTTTATCGGCCGATATCATTTTCGTTCATGAGGAGAGTCACGTGAGAAAAGTCATTCCAATTTTAGATCCTTAAGTCTGTATTAATAGTCGTTACTTTGAACATGTGAGATCTGCATTTAGAGTTAGATTTGAGTTTCTATTTTGGCTCATATATTGCACATGCAACATTAAATTTGCAATCACGATCCAACTGAAGAACTCGCGCCTAATTCGAAGTTTAAATCTGAGCTCCGTATTAATAGCCGTTACTTGAACTTCGTCTCAAGAGAGACACTCAGATTTGAATTTGGAGTTGATGTGAATCTTTCACTTGTATGTCGCGATTACACAAATGTAATGTCACGTACATCATATATGATTCAACTGAAGATCTCAGATCTAACTCTAAATTCCGACTTGAGGGTTTCATGTCAGGCAAGTTCCAAGACTATTAATATGGCTCTTAGGCCCTTATATACTAACAGTTGTCATCATATACTGAAACTTGTCTCATATAACATATCCCGATTTGTATTTAGAGTCAGAACCAAGTTTTCCACAGTTGAACAGTAATATACAAGGTGTCCTAGATTCTCCTCCGTAGAACGTTCCTACAAAAATTGCGGAGGAGAGTCCGGGACACCCTGTATATAATATTAATATTCATAATATCGCGATTCAACGGGTAAAACTCTTATCTGACTCTGGATTGAAATCCGAGTACTTTACTTAAGACGAGCAATTCAAGCGATAACTATTGATATAAACATCGCGATTTCAACGTAAGAGAGTCTCTCTTCGGCATAATCAGAGGAGCTCGTTTATCGGACGTTTACCCTTCGCGTTAGTCGCGAGGACGAACGACCGCGATTCTTTAGTCTTCATCCCGAGGACGAAATCGCAATTCGATATCGGGGCGATATCGGGGCGATTCGAACGGGGGCGTCTCGTTCGTTCGTTCGAAAGGAAAGAGAGAGGGCTCTAATTGCGGAAGGTAAATGTAGGCCGCGGTATAAATAACGTCACCACGAAAGTTTATATATTCCAAGCGCTCAATTATCCCTCAGCGCGACGAGAGAGCGATCGCGCACGACAACGACCGGTATCGCGCTTTGTGCTCACCCTTCTCCTTCTCGTCCTTCCCTTTATTGTCGAAGAAGCCGGTTGTGAGAGCCTTCCTCTTCAGCAGGTACGCCCGTCTCTTCGGCTTCGTGGTCGCCGACCCGCTGCCGACCGATTCTGGAAGGGAACACAGAGAGAAATGACCTGACAAATGTATTCCAAGACACATTCTCCGTTTTAGTTCCTTAATGCTACATTATGCAGTCTTCTCGTAAAATCCGAACGGTATTCGCGTTTGTCTGAAATGTCGGAATAATTCATATCGGACCACTGTTTCCGAGCAAATGGGAACTGTCGACAATTTAATAAACCACCCGTATCACAGGTATAAGAATAGTAGAGACACGATCCTTCAAAATGAGATTAGGCAACAAACTGAATTAGTCTCACGAATTACTTTTGTACGACCGCGTATACGACGAGAATAACGCCACGTACGGTTAATTGAATCCAGGAGCTTCAAATAGGATTCCTCGCAAAAATCGCGCGAATTGCAAGACATGTGAATTCACGAGGTTTATTAATCCCACTTTTCATCTCTGACGCATCTCTCACGTTAAAAAATAAGGATTCTCTCTCTTCTATTACAATTAAATATCCATATTTGAACTTAATGATTTCCCATTGTTTGAACCTTAATGAGCCTCGTAACGAAATATTTTTCATTCACTACACGAAAAAAATATTATAGTAATAATATAGTAATAAAATATAGTAATAAAAATAGTATATAGTAAATAGAAAATATTATAGTAATAAAAATTACAACAGAACTTTCTCTCTCTCTTTCTCTCTCTCTTGGAATATATAGAATTGTGGCTAAAATTATTAAATTACTATATTTGTTTAAAAATATTATACACGTTCGACTTTTTACTACGAAATTATTATAATTATTTAAATTATTTGAAGTGTGTAAAATATAAGAAACTTTATAATACTCCTTATACTATTATTATGATTATTGCTTGGCAAAAAATCGACCACAATCCATTCAGGGAAAGTTCTCAGCCATTTAGGTTTTGTAGTCAATGTTTCAACATGTTTCATGTTTCAACAATTATAGAAATTTGCTTTTTTTGAAAATATTTGTAAATAAAAACTTAAACTTTGCATAAACACGAAAAAAATTATTTATTTGCATCAATCTGGTGCATTTGCAGTTACATTTATGTCAAAAAATTACAAAAATATTAATTTATATTACATACTACAAGTAGATATCATACTTTTATTTCTTGAGCAACATTTTTTATGGCAAGTACCTGTATGGTTATATGTTGACCTGTTTTTCATTATCATATCATTTGTATAACGAAAATTACTGACAAAGTTCTCTATTTCTAATTGTTTTTGTCTTATTTTGTAAAACAACAGATATTTTGAACCTTGAGGTGATAAGGTGGTCAATATATTGACCACAAATCCATAAAGGGGTGGAAACTATAAACGAGTCAAATCTATAAAGAGCATACAAATTGTATGAGCTTTAAATAACAGGTTTTTCACTCCCCTCGGATTCTGTAACGCTTTTAACTGGATCATTTCTGTCGTCGTGCGCGTTGCATTTCCCTCGCAAGGTCTCTCTGCGGAACGCGAGTACGGGTGAAAAGCGGGAGTACCGAAGTACCGGAGTTAATCAACGCGCGACTTACTGCGAGGGGAGTTCCTTGCACTCACCCACCGGGCGCATGCCACGTCGCTGTTTCTATTATAACGCAGTTATTCATAGTCATTCTATGACACATTCTATTTGCAATACAATGCTGTCTTAACGACCGCGGCGTCCGCGCGCGCGCTCATCGCACATTCCGGCTCTCTTTCTCGCGCCCGCGTGCTATCGCGAATGAGCCTCGCGAAAGAAGAGACATCGAGAAATTCGAGTGGATGTTCCGCCGTAAAGGCGGGCGAACGCTCTCGTAGCCATAAACACGTCAATCATCTGGAGTCTTCAGACGAGACAGCCGAACGGCGCCACGTCTTCGCGATAGATGCCAAAGTAATCTCTCTCTGTGAGATACCCGAGAGAGAGATTCCCAGATTACTCCTTCCCTATTATTATTCCCGCCAGGTGCGAAGGTGGCGGCACGTTCCAAGGTCAAGCGCTTATCACCTTCGAGGAAAAAGCGACGAGATTTTGCTCGACGTTGAGGAAATACGTATCCGCGAATGGAATCGAGTTGTGCGACTGATGCGAAGCAAATTACGATCTTAATTTGACAGGATAAAACAATCATACGCCAATTTTGTTTGCATTTAAATTTGCACTCAATGATGAGGCAATAAGACGCTTCATAAGAAATTCCACTAAATAAGGGAATTCCTTCGCGCGCGTCTCGATAGTCTCCTCGGATCTTTAATTCATCTCCCAGGAATCGCGCGCGATCTACTTTTCGCAATACGGCTCTATTAATGTTGAAAGGATCGCTTTCAGCGCAAAAATAGAGGGTGGAGGATAGCGAGAAGAAATTTCTGCGATGCCAACGGCTGAGTTTATTCGCTGAAGAAGGAAGACTACCCGAATAACTCACTCACGCACGGGGGCGTTGATGAGAGAGCATAAGGATTCGATTCTGCACAGGGCGTACAAAAGCATCCGAGAAATTCATGACCCTCGTCGGTGTTTGTTAAATAGAAACCAGCGGGGGCTGTGCGTTAAATACGCCTGGAATTTCGTTGGGCGTTGTTTCCTCTTTTCTTCGCCTTCATTCTGGAACAACTGTACTCCGCGGATTAACGTAGCGTGGCATGCAGATGGGCTTAATGGAATTACACGTGCAGTGGAAGGATTCCTTTTGACTCGTTCGAGAAACGGTACGCGGAACCGGAGCAAGACCACGGATATTGCTTAGACAATCATTACCAAACCGAAAGCAAACTAAAAGGACATGAAATGTCGCGGCTCGCGACTGGGACTTTACTAATTGAGCTTCATAATTAATATCGCAGCACGAATCTTCAAATTCCGACGCGCATTTTGTTTTATCCGCACCGAAGAGAAGGAGAGAGAAAGAAAGAGAAAAGGCGAACAATATAAACAATGCTTTGCGATAACGATATCTGGGCGGAGGTAAAACGACATTTTTTGTATACTAGCTAATAAAATCTCCTTAATGGATTCTAACTACATGCAGTGCACTTATTTAGATTTACTACACTGAGGGAAAAATCAACAAATATTTCTTTGATGGGTGCCATTAACATATTTATTTAAATCTAAATTCTCCTTATTTAAATCAAATATTGTTTATTTAAATCAGGTAAACAATACTTGATTTAAATAAAGAGAATTTAGATTTAAGTAAATATGTTAATGGCATCCATGAAACAAATATTTATTGATTTTAAGGTAATTTTTCCCTCAATATATGCTTACTACACTGAGAGGAAAAATATCTAAAAAGTAGAAAATATTTATTCGCCGCATGTAGATACTAATAATACATTTCCCTAAATCTAAATTCTTTTATTTAGATAAAATGAACGATTGTTTCCGTGAAAAGCCAAGGTTTTAAGAAAATGTACATTTTCTTATTTGAAAAAATATTTTATATTAGTATAAATATAAGTTACTATAGCACTTCTTGCGCGCAAATAAATATTCTTTATTTCTTAGATATTTTTCCTTAGTATCTTGTAATCGTACACGTTTGTCTGTCGACGTAAAGCCATTGCAGCGACAGATTTGACTTTTTAGTCAATAAATGATGAGAGAGTCGAATAATTAATAATAATACGTACGATTGCAAGATCCTGATAACTAAAATTACATTACGTATTCAGTCTATTCCCTGCAGGTTGGCGAACTCGCCACATTATAGGCGGGATTTTATGCCTGTAATAGCCGTGATTAATCGAACACGCCTCTGCCCCTCTTCCCGCGGGAACGCTCTTTCGCTTAACATTTTTCACACCTTTGGATTAAACTCACCGCTCGGCGGCCTGATGTGCACGCCCAGATTGAGAGCTTGAAGCTTCGCCACGGCCACCTTACAGAGGACCTTCCTCTCGATCTCGGACAGCGTTCTCAACTGTGTGTCCTGCAGGGTCACACGCCGACTCGCCGTGCCTGCCCAAGTGCATTTTCCCTGCGACAAAAGCAAATAGCACGTGGTTGATTTAGTTCCTCGGGCGACAGCCGCTGGACCGTACAGTCGCGAATTGCACTTGACAGGCACAGTCTCTGACAGATCTTGAGAAAGCGTCCTGAATCCCCGGCGCAGATGTTGCGGGGTGCAACGAAGACGTCGCGCAGCGTACGAGGCATTGAACGTGGAACGCGGCGTATCTCGTCGAGCACGACGGAATTGCTGGACGGGCTTTAATTCCAGTCGCGACCCTTGTTATCATGCAACGATTATTCAAATTGGTCTTATCATGTAAATCCGCGAAATTAAAATTTATAGACTCACACAGCGTCGAGATGGGGATGGCTTGCAAATTTTCGCGATCTTGCGGCGCGTGTACCAGTCGTGGGAGTTCGATCGATTCGACTGCTCGATAAGTACGACAGATTAAAACGACGGTGGGGTCGCGACACGTATTCATTAATTGTCACCCGTCTTACGGGCGCACACTCGTTTGCGTTACCTCGCAAAACTTTCACGATAGATCAGCGAGAGAGCCGCCGCACTCGAGAAATGAAAACAGGACGAGAGGTGTAATATCGAGGAAATGCGAGATGTAAGGAGAAGACGCAATGTGACGGGCCATAACTCACACATTTTCCTTCCACTTCGCGGAGGAGATCGAGTTAATATTTCTAGCAGATGAAATTGTCTGCATGTTTTGCTCGCGCTTCCGAGAACGCGCCGTACTGTCGAGCCAAGTTTAAATGGTACGCGAAAATTTAACAATGCGCGCGATCGGCTAATTGATACGATGACGATCGGCGTATACACAAAACACTGGCATGATTGCCACAAGCCCACGTCGAACTAGCGATTGGATTGCGATCGGCGATTAGCGACTGCTTTCTACAATCTCTACAAAAAATATACTTTCTACCAATTAGAACGAAGCAGTCGCCGATCGAGATTAGCGACTGCCAATTCGACAGTGTTCTATTTTATAATCGTCACACACAATCCAATCGACAATCTCTAGCGTGATACGGGCTTTAAGCCAGAAGCACGCAGAAAACCGTGAATAGTAAGACTTAAGCGATAAGCGAATTGACCAATCGCAGTTGATAATTCTTCCTGGTTCAAGAAAAATCGATTGTGATTGGTCGATTTTTTATTGTTTAAGTTTACTGCTTACGTTTTTACGTATACTCAGAAGAAAATTATATTAAAATCTACAAATATTTCCTTGATGGGTGCCATTAACATATTTACTTAAATCTACATTCTCTTTATTTAAACCAAATATTGTTTATTTAAATCAGATAAACAATATTTTATTTAAATAAAGAGAATGTAGATTTAAGTAAATATGTTAATGGAACCCATCAAAGAAATATTTGTTGATTTTAATATATAATTTTTCTCTCAGTGTACGTCGTCCGCTTTAACATGTCATGCAATTAGGTTATTCAAATTTCCGTAATAGTACGCATTATTAATTTATTATTTATTAATTACTCGAAAAAGAGCATAAACAATATGCGTCGAAGTGTAATCTGCCACTGCAATAGCTTCGCCTTCCAGAAACAATATATATGTTTGGAAAATATTAGTAACCCAATTACTAATATAATTGTATACACATATAATACTATATGTGTATACACTGTGTGTATACACATGTGTGTACACTATGTGTATATGTGTGTGTGTGTGTTAAGACTGTTATGCCGATCTGTGTACAATATTGACATGCAATATTTACGTAATCGTTAAGAATTGAGAATACTTATTTATTATTTTCTCGCTATTCTCCAGATGTTTTTCTCTCGAAATACGTTCTAACATTTTATTATTTATCAAAGACCGTTACATCTCCTTAAATTTCTTTCGTAGAGTTACTTTTGTAGTAGTTTGGTATTTTTCATTCATGTTTTACACTTGATTGTGAAACTCTAGCACGAAAATATTGTAATATTGATACTTATTAATTGCAATATCACGTATACTTCTTTTTTCCCTTTTTTGTTCTAATAAGATCGCTTTAACAGTCTACTAGGTTAGCCATATACTGTGGTTTCTTTCTTATCAAGATATTTCTTGCTGCCCTTTTTTGAGAGAGACCCCGGCAAATTTCGATCTTGTCACCTTCTGCTCATCAAAAATTGCAGGTAGCTATCCAAAAACTACCCTCGCATTCATGAATTTATCAGCCGCGGGCCAGAAAAATACGTTACCATCAAACTACGTTACATCCAGATGGAAAAAACAATCGAAGCGACGTTGACAAAAATGTAGTTGAAACGTAAAAATCATTTCCGCGACAATGGCGTGCGTGATTCGGAGAGTTTTGCACGTATGAAAGCTTCCGATGAGGGAGAGACATTTACCTGTCGTTCTTCGCTTATTCAAGCTACGAGCAAATGCGTTCCCATGTGTTTCCTACACATCGTTGCGCTCTTGCAATATTTCACGTAACCGAAGAAAGGGACGAGTGATGGTCACTGTTATTCACCGGCAAACCATTTTACTAACGTGTTCTTCCTTTTTTTTTCGAGGTAACATACGTCATGCACCATATACTCGCGTGCACACGCACGCGCGCGTGTATGTGTGTGTCTCCGGTAAAATTTAAGCTGCAAAAAGCAGAAATAAATGTAACAACGAGACAGCTCGGACGGGAAAGCAGTGAGAGGACACTGCGATTATTTGTTCCGCTTTTCCGGACATTTTACAATCTTATTGTAATATGAAAAGATTCAACAGAAACGAAATATTTCAAGTCTCTAATATTTGATACAGATAAGTTTCGAGCAAACATACTTGATAAATGTAACATCACGATCGCGGAGTGGTAATTTAGCCGTGAACACTTCAGCGAAAGCTGGAAATAACGTCTTAAGGTAGTTTTGTCTCTCAAAATTATACTACTGTGTCCAAAAAGTAAGACCAATTTAAAATTTTGTTTTTAAATCTTTATTTATTATTCCAAATCTATTTCGTCGCCTTCAAAGTAATCCCCCTCAGACACAATACACTTATGCCAACGTTTTTTCCAACCCTCGAAACAGTTGTTAAAGTCGATTTCCGGAATGGCCTTCCAAGCTTTCTTCGACTTCTTCAACTTGTATCTCTTCAATCGAGTCAAAACGGTGTCCCCGGAGCGGTCTTTTGAGTTTAGGGAATAGCCAGAAGTCACACGGTGCTAAATCAGGTTAATATGATGGTTGTGGAACGATATGGGTGGAATTTTTAGCGAAATGGTCTCGAAGAACCAATGCAGTGTGAGATGGCGCATTATCATGGTGTAAAAACCAAGAGTTGTCTTTCCACAATTCCGGCCTCTTCTTGCGAATAGCTTCACGCAAACAACGCATAATTTGACACAGATGTCTGTCACAGTGCTACCAATTTAGAAAAAAAGTATTTCTGACATTCGATATACCCGCGCAATTTAATTTGAAAATTGGTCTTACTTTTTGGACACAGTAGTATTTAAAAAGAACGAGTAATGTGTGTGTGTGTGTGTGTATGTATGTGTGTGTGCACAGAATCTCACAGTGATGTATCATTGAAATTTCGTCTAACCTACGATACTTTCGTGAAACAAAGTATTCTTTAACAAGACAATTTCTAAAATTTTGCGACATAAACGCGCGACTTTTAATATTCTATAAGGGGCGCAATGTATCGAGGATGAGAGAAAGAGAGAGAAAGAGGACTATTCACTCACTAGCAACGTCTGTTGCTGAAAAGGGCGACTTGACACGCGCTTATTATTCTGAAAAGTTCCTCTATTTTCCAATGAAACGTTGTCTTCAGCACGTATTTGGGAATTAACGGGATAATACATGCGGGGAGGGGAGAGTCAGGGGTTAAAAAGTTCGTGACTCGCCTTGTTAATCGGCCTGGCCAAATTTCTTGTCGCTCATTCTATATTCCTGGCTGTGGACGAGAGAAAGAGAAAGAGAGAGAGAGAGAGAGAAAGCTCCGCATGAAATGCATGAAGATTAAACGAAGAATGTGGTAGTGCTCCTGCGGCATGAGGAAAGGTCTAACTAAACCGCGTTTTCAAGATAAAGACAGGATATGGACTTTGCCTTCCATGCAAATGCGAATGGCCTGTGGAAACTGGTAATTTAGCGCCGTCGCCACTCACCTGATCAAACTATTTCTTTTGTTCGCGCTGTCTTTTCTTCTTTTTATTTGGCTGCGAAAAGTAGATAATAATGTTCACTCGCGCGCGCCAGCGTACTTTAACGTCGACAAAATGTTGTCACGGAACAATTTGATCGACAGAATCGGTGTAATACAGAAAGGACTCGGTGGTAGACAGTATTCGGTGTAAGCGGCAATGTTTCCTCATTCGCGACTAAAGTGATTTTCTGTGAGTGAGAAAACTATCGCGACGCAAATAGTTCTTGAGGTGAGGCCGAGCGAGAAATATCGTCTCGTTCGTCGATTACGTGTCTTACAGGACACCTAGTATAAGACATAAATTATTTTTGGTTCTTGGAAAATTTGAAAACTGTTCATATCGAATGTCGAATATTTCCCTAATCAGAGAAGAATCAATTCAGATGAGATGTCGATAACGAACAATATAATTTGATGACTGTAAGCTTAGATATTTTCTCGTGCTGCGACAACGAGAGGATTGCTTTTCCCTTCGCGATTTCGCGGCGGATTATTCGTCGGAATAACGGAGGAACGCCACGTGAGAATAGCATGGACGCAGAGGCAACGGTGGTAGTAGCCTTTGGCTTCGGTGTTGGTATATCCGAGTAGTAGTAGCAGGGGTTAAGTATAGTTTATACACACCGCCGTTGGCTGACTATTTCTGGCGGCGCCAGCGAAATTCCGAGGCCCTAAATTGGTTATCGCGCTTACCGCTTAACGAGAACGTCTGCCACAAGGTCGACCCCCTTTTTCTTCTTTTGCGTTTTCCCCTTTCGCATCTTTCGCGTGCTTAGACACCGAGGATAAGGAGGTGTCGAAGGAAGAAAGGAGATACGCGCGGTTAGATCAACGGCGCGATGATTAACCGAGCGTGGCGCGTGCCGAGAGAAGTCTTCGGTCCTGGACGAAGGCACATTTCGCAAAAAAGTCGAGAGATATTTGCGGAAAGACTAATTGCGAAAATTTATGTGTCACAGATTTACCCAAGCAGAAAAACTTCCAGGAGAAACGGGTTATTAGTCAGAAACTGGTCCATTTTTATTGGTTAGGATTTGTTTATTGGATTCACTGACTGAGTTAGGACAGTAACTGGTCAGAAACTGGGAAAGAAAATATTGGCCAGTATTTATTAGTTACTGGCCAGAAATTAGGCAAGAAGAAATGATAATTGAAAATAGAACTACATCTAGGTCAATAATGAATGAATTTGCACGCGAAAAAGATTTATCTTTTAAATCACGAGTTTTCAAGTTTTTTTTTTATATTGAATAATAAAATGTAATATTCTACAGTGTGTAGAATCTAACAATGGAAACTATTTGACAGGATTTTGTACAAAAAGAGAAACTAACAGGAACTGGCTAGTTTTACTGTCCATTTATTGGCGAAGAAAATGTTGCCTAAATTATCTAGAAACTAGCCAAACTAATCAGAAAATAACTAGAAACTAGAAAATAACCAAAATTCCTGACCAGTTGCTAGGTAGGAAGAGGTTACCGTTTCTGCTTGAATAATTGTGTCATAGTCGAAATATTAAGCGTTTTAGCAAACTTGAATAGATGTGCATAGACGAAATAGAAGCTAATTGTTTTGTTATCTAATTAATTTAAGAGTTTTTTTCATTTAAAAGAGTTAAGTTGAAATCATTGAAAGTCTGATTTGATTCGATTGCAAACACAAGAAAACACGATCCAGAATTAATATGACGGAATTTATATCGTTACCAAATAACTCGATAACTATGGAACGTTTAATAAATTTTTAACTGTTGTTGAGAAATTTTCTGTGTGCAGCAATATATGATGTAAATATACTTATCTGAATGACGGATTGTAAAGAAAAGCATTTGCCAGTTCTCAAAGTTATCAGTGACTTGCTAATCTTTCACATTAGAGGCTGTCGGCACATAATTTGAGTAGATTGTTGTTTCGCACAACAAAACGCCGCACAACAATCGATACTATCGATGGAGATACTGTCGTCGTGTTATTTATCATGTTTACAATAGATACGTAACGGGTTCGGAGTCACCGTCGAAAAGTAAATAATTTTCCCACATTCGACACAATCAATCCCAAACAATGACTTTTCCCGCTGAAATCTCTCGCGACCGTCCATTTCGCCGAATGTACATGTAACGCGGAATATACTCTCGTGCTCTCCCAAAAGATATTCCTGCCTCGCGTAACGTGGAGACTACCGCCAGAAAGCGCATTACGAAAATGCGGGTCTATGCCAAATTCACGGTATCTACTGTTCCTTTTTATCGAGCTTTTTGCTAATTTCGCGAAGACGCCAAAGAATGCGCATACTATAACACGTTGGAAAGTGTCCTCGAGATGCATTTAATATAACTTCCAGAAGACGCATTTCGCCTCTGCTCCCAGCTGTCTCGCCTTATCTTACAAGTGGCGAAGGCAACTCCACACGCGATTAATAAGTCTGATTATGCGAGATGCGTTCTCTTGACGAGCGCTCGTCGCAAGTGCACGAGGAGAAGTCACTTTAGTACGCCTTGCATGTAAATACAAATCAATGCAAATCTAATTAATCGAAAATCTTTCATTTGTGTAAAACAAATTCAAAATTTAATTCGACGAGGTGATTATAAAGCCAACTCATTACTGATCACACTTGTCGTTTGGTTTGCTTAACTTTCGTAATTAAAAAATTTCACTAATATTACATCAATTCCCTGATATTAAAACTTTACCAATTGTTTACATATAAACAACCGATTTTCGATCTTTTATTCGCGAGAAAGAGCCCAGAGAGAAAGAGAGAGAAAATTACGCTAAATATAGTTACTTCTTCTATGCGACTCTCTGGTCACGAAAAAAAGTCGACACTCAACAAAAAGGGAAACACCTGAGGATGATAAACGTTCTCCTCTACCGGTGAGACTTATTACATTGCCAAAATAATTTCATCGAGGCGGGAGGAGCAAAGGTAACAGTTGAGAAAAGAGAGAATTGGCAAACTTAGTGAAGTGAAATAAATTGTCAAGAATTCTTCCAGTATGAAAGATGCGACGATTCAGCTGAAATTTGTCCACGAGGAAGTCACGCGGAAAACTCACTCCACTGGACTACGAAAGCGGTACACGAGCAGTACAGAAGCATGCACTCACCTGAGGCGTCCATACGGACGGCTGATGCGTTGCCCTGGACGTGCTCTTGCTCCTGGAGCGCCAGATCTTCTTCGCCACCAGCCGGCTGCCGTGATGGACCACGCTGCTCGAGGACTTGCTCTTCTGCATCGCGGTGCCACCTGCGGAATTGGCGGACGCAGACGTGAGTGCCGGCGAACCGGGCGCGGAGTGCGGCTTATCCTTATGCGCGTTGGAACCGTGCAGTAGGTGGGATAGGAAGGACTGATGGTGATGGGGTTGTTTCGGGGTGGACGGCTCCTCGGAGCCGAGGCCAGCGTCGATGCTGCTGCGGGAGCTGGCGTTTCTGCTCGCGGGCGACGTGGTCGTGTCGGCGTCTGACAAATTCTCAGACGGCGGCGCGTCCGCGGAGGACATCTCCCGATAATTCACAGCCCAGTTCTCCTCCGTCTGGCAGCCCTTGCTATTGCCGTCGTTGTCGCCGGGCTTGGTGATCTCGCCCTTGGCCTTGATATTGCGCAGGTTCCGGTCGTAATTGACACGCTTGAACCGGTCGACCTTGTCCGCGTCCATGGACTTCTTCCGCGCCATTCTCAGGTACCTCTTGATGGTGTCGCTGACGGAGGGCGACACGTCGTCGTTGTCGACGCTGCTGCGCCTACGTCCGCTGGACGACTTTTGCGTGCACGACTCCTTCGACGAGTCTTCTTTCTCCCTTTCGAGTAAGATTGTATCGAGAACAGCTCGCGGCACCGGATCGGTTTGCACGCCATTATCAAAGGAACCTGGATCGGTACTGGGTTCTTGGACGGCGATCAGAGGCGGTGGCGAGATCAGCTCTCTCTTTCCGGCTCTTTCCGTTTTCCAACTATCGGACTCTTTAGCGAGTGGCTTGCTTCTCTGATGAGACCACCATCGGGTGGACGGCGAGGTATACGCGCCGGTCGCTCGAGGCCCCCTGAAGCCCCTGGTACATCTCAGATCAAAGTAGAGCTTCTCCAAGAGCTTTCGGTCGGTCAGAATGTCGGAAACCATGTGTTCCCGAGATGGAGACTTGCTGTAGTAACGACCCAGCGTCTCCATCAGCGACTTGTGCACGTAGTCGCCCTGGTAAGGCGACACGGACGTCGTCGGAGCGACGTTTTTTTCGACGGAGGAGCTCTGGCGAGAGGAAACTAACTCTTCGCGCCTGGTCTGCGCTACGATCAAGTCCAGGTGCTGCTGAAGCTTATCTATCAGGCTGCGATAGTCGAAAGGCTCTTTCCCTTCCGTTAGCTCGATCATTTCTGAGGATTTGACGGGCGTCCTTGCCGGATGACCCGTGTCAGCCTGCATGTTCAGGTACTTCTGTAGCATGTCGGCCAATTCTTTAGCCTCGGCGTCCTCGTGCGACGTCTTGCGACGCGTCACCGGACTCGATGGCGTGCTGCCGCCATCGCCGCCGCCGCCGCCGCCTGACGTCAGCAGCCATTCTCTCTTCGCCTTGGCTAGATCAAACTTGCCAGACTCGGTCTCGCGAAGGACGAAGCTCTGAGGCGAGCTCCTGGCGTCGTCAGCTTCGTCGGCTGAGCTGGCTTGGGTCCGACAGCTGCCACCTTTGATCGCTCGGCGACGTCTTTGAGCGCGGAAGCCCAAGCTACCAGGATACGAGGCCTTCCTCCAGAGCAGGAAACGCGGCTCTTTCTGGCACACCTCCTGGAAGTACTGCTCGATCTTCGGTATGTCCTCCGCGCGATTGTGCGTGCCGTCCGGAATGAGACGTCTGCCGGCGTCCGCCATGTACCGCCACGTCTTCCTCGTGAGCAGCCATCGCTCCTTGGACGGCTTGCTGGAGCGTTTGGTTCTGCGTTCCTTGGAGGTCGCCGGGGTCCCGCGTATCGAGTTGCCGGTGTCCATGCTGTCGCGACGCGAGCGTCTCCTGCCGCCGGGACGCTCCGCCATCGTCGCGTCCTTTTCCTTCTTCGCCACGCGAACCACCTTCGCGGGATTCTACCTCCTGGTCGTGCGACGACAACCGACGACTCTCGTCAGTCATCCACCAACTTCTCGTGGCAGAGTCGCTGTACCATGCCAGGCAGCTGGTGTATGGATGTGTATGCGTGCGCTGTCGTATGCGATTCTCTCGCTTGTCACTCGCGACGAACCGTCATCGTTCGATCGAGAGGACACATCGGGCGACACGAATGTCCCGCACAGGACGACGCACCACTGCACTTCGATACTCGGCCGTGACGCCACTCGCTGAAGCAAAAGACTCGGTAGATACGAATTCCTGAGATCGATGCTCGAGATCATGCGATTTTTTTTAGAACAAAAATGATTTCGTTAATCTCTTGGATACCAAGCGAGATATCAGCTTGGAGAAGAGTTTTATGGACGTTTCTTGCTCTGATTATTCAACGTATCCTCCGGATAAGGAAGTTTCAGGGTCGATAATGGCCGGCTCAGTGAATTCGTCGACACTATTTAGGTCTTCTCGAGTATAAGATTCGGAAAAGTTGCTCAGGTGAAGAAGCACTATCTTGCGGCGCCCAGAAGCGTGTGTTCTTCAGATAACCAGGGCTCACTACGGCGTGAGTAAACCGTACGGCACTACGACTACGACGACGACGATGACGACGGCGACGACGACGTGGACGTCTCGACGGCCGGACGACGTCGCACGGAATCGCACGCGTTACGCTTGCCCGCGAGCCGGCAAGGTGGAAGCTGCCTAAAGTACGCGACTACTGCTTCTCAGGGCGTCGCGACGCTCGTGGACGCTCCGTGTCTAAAAGCGTCTTGGCCCCGTCTTGCCTCTTCCTTCCCTCGTGCGGAAGCGCGAACGAGCGAGGGAGCGAGAGCGAAGGAGAGCAAGAGGAAGGAGGACAGACGCTTCGGAGACGACGACGGACCAGACCGAGGAAGAAGCGGAGGTATAGACTACGGTCTAGGATACCTGGGCCCGCAGACTAACCGGAGGTAGCGTCGGCGATGTCGTCATACTTTGCCAAATACCGACGGCGCTTTCTGGCGGCGCACCCAGCCGCTGGCGTTTCTCGACGAAACAGTGTCGGCTTTGACGACGTCGTCGTGACGGCATGCTCCTCGTCGTCATAATATCGAATAAGGATGACGATGTCGCATCGGGCAGAATACGAGCAAGGTGCTCATCGTTGGCCGATGAATTAAAACCGGTGGAGAGCGTGACGAGCTGTACTTGTCGTTGTTCAGAGTCTCTCGGGGGATCACGGAGAAGGAAGTGAGAAGAGAGAGAGGGATTGCGAAGAAGTACTCGAGTACTCGAGTACTGCATATTATGGCTGCGCGATAGTCTATATACATTTTACATGCACGTCAAAGTAATGTATAACTTGAGGCGCAAATATAAATCATGGGATTAAACATTTTACGAATCATAATCAAGAATATCGCAAGTATCTTATGTTGCAGTGGAGAATATAACGAACGACACTCATATTAGCCAAAATTTTAGCTCCAATCTTGACACGAACCTTCTAACATCTGTATATTCTAAAAGATCAGTGGACATATAGGAACAGAAGTCGTATTTAGCGACTCTAAGGCCTGTATTAATAGTCATTGCTTGAAGCTTGCTTCAGGTGAAATACTCAAATTTGAATATAGAGTTAAATGTGAATATTTCGGCTGAATCGCGATTGGAAATGTAATGTTGCATTGTATGTGTAATTAAAAGAAAATTCAAGTATAACTCTAAATTCACATCTGAGAATCTCACGTGGGACAAGTTTCAAGTAATGACTATTAATACAGGCTTTAGACGCGTATTCATAGTCACTACTTGAAGCTTGTTTCAAGTAAGATACTCAAATTTAAGTTTTTCTCCCTTGAAACGAGTTCCTTTCTTATTCTGATCACAACCTTTCTTATCACAATCTTTCTTATTCTAATTTGTTTAATAGAATATCTAGATCAAAAGAAGGATCCAAGTTTCAACTTAATAGTCATTGCTTGAAGCTTGCTTCAGGTGAGATACTCAAATTTGAATTTAGAGTTAAATGTGAATATTTCGGCGGAATCGCGATTGGAAATGTAATGTTGCATTGTATGTGTAATTCAAAAAAAATTCAAGTATAACTCTAAATTCACATCTGAGTATCTCACGTGGGACAAGTTTCAAATAATGACTATCAATACGGACTTTAGGCGCGTATTCATAGTCACTACTTGAAGCTTGTTTCAAGTAAGATACACAAATTTAAGTTTTTCTCCCTTGAAAC